AATGCTTCTCACCCTTCCAGGACCCCAGTTGGTTTCCACCCCCAATTTCGAGCCGACCCTGCCTGGGTCCCGTTGCTCGCCACATAGGCCTCGTCCCCGGGCAGGTCCAGCATCTGATCCGCGCACGCCTCTGCGAAGCCGTCCCACCACAGCCCGGAGATCTTGTCCGCGGAGATCCCCATAGCCAGGCAGGTCTTGTCTGCCAGGATGGCCTCAACAAGTGGAACCAAAACTGGGCTGCCCTCAGATCCCCCGCTAAACTACCACTAAACACTAAAAGGCTAAAAAGCTAAGGGGGATGGCTGGGAGCCACCAAGAAAAGGACGTTGTGGAAGCAGCTGTGTTTTGCCTAAAGGTTCCAGAGAAACCAAGAGGTTGACATGCCAAAGGAGGTTGGCCCAACCCCTGATGGCCTCCGCAACCATGCAAGAGGCTCTGCGGAAGCCCTCTTTCAGAGTGCGATTCCAGGCGCCTTCATGGTCCTCCTTTTCAAGGGCAGTCATGTACTTCCTTTGCAGCTCATGGGAGGTCTCCATGAACAATGTCATGCGCATTGGCGGGTCAAACTTCTCTTTGACCAGATTGAAAGCAGCGTACTCGGGAACTGTTGCAGAGAAGTCCGTCTTGGACACATCGTAGTTGGGGGCAAAAGTCATCAGGTGGCCAATGAGAGGCATGAAGGACAGCAGTACCAGCATCGGCATCAGATAGCTCCAGGGCTTGCTCGTCACCAAGTAGCCCACCGGCCGAAAAATATTGGTCTTCAAACTGGCCGAGGTCCTGTGAACAGCACTCCAGAAGTAATTGTCCTCCGATGGCTCGTCGAAGAGCCAGGGCATCATTGAAGCCAGCACAGTGGGCACAGTAAGGCTGTAAAAGCCCACGAATAGCGTGCCCAGCGCCAGGTTCAGAGTTGCATAGAGATAGCCCAGCTTGTTTAGGTCCGGATAGCAGCTCGCACCGATAAATGCCACGACGAGGACCAGGCTGCTGACGAGTATGACAAAGCCAGAGCTTTGCAACGTCTTCATCAATATACGTTCGATGGGCGCAGCGGCATCTTGCCGACGCTCCTGCGAGAAGCGCACCCAAAAAAACAAGGAGTAGTCGAAGCAAAGGGCCAGCTGGACAAAAACGATCTGCGTGTCCGGGCCGACCATGTTCAAGTCTGCCCACAAACCTTTCATCACGACGATGACGCACCGGGAGGCCATGACACTGCCGGCCAGGCAGAGGAAGGGCGTCATGGCGCGCGGCAGGGTGCCCACACCCAGAATCAGCAACATCACCTTGACCAACCCTCAAAAGATCCACAAAATCTGCTTGCTGGTACGGGAAGTATGAATTTCTGAAAAGACAAAGCGGCAAAACGCCAAAGCTCGCTCTGGCCATTTGTTTGGGCACGTAGAGGGGAAACGACCACGAAAAACTAGAAAAAACATGGGACCAGTCTGGGTTGCTAGGAAGGGTGTGCTCAGCTTCAGGTGGTGCATGGTCTCCTAGGTGCAAAGGAAACCCTTTACAGGCTACAAAGGAAACAGGGCAAAAGGCCAAAAGGCCAAAAGGGCAAAGATCCCAAAGAATTTGAGCTAAGTCTGGCAATGTCTCCCGGTCGCACTGGTCATAGGAGGCATCCACCACTGAATGGGCCCCCGCCATGTCTAGGCGGAAGCGCCCAAAGTTCCCGTCCAGGGTCGGCAAGTACTGCCGGATCGCGTACAGGCACTCGCTCCTGCATGCTGAAAGGAAAACACACAAAAAAAGACAGGCAACTAACTGACCTGCTGGGCTTGCTTGAAGCTTGCTAGTTCAACAGGAGGAATGAAAGAGGCCGCAGAATCCAGCGGGACTCTCATCAAACCACTGAGAACAATAACAAAAAGGCGGGTGGCGAAACTAAGCCGCGACAAGCAACGAGGCGACTCCAACAAGTGGACACCAAAGTCGTCTTTTGAAAAGGGGCATTTCTTGTGGCAAAGCCAAGGTTTCATTGGGGGATCTACACCATTCATATCTGGGCGAAGGGCTGCGAAGGGCATAGGGAAGAAAACCAAGCCTCCAATGTTTGGTGGGCGCTCCCCCCAAACCATCAGCTTGCGCGCTCGCGCCGCACGCGCCCGGGTTCGCCTGTGCCCAATGGAGGCCTTTTGCCTCAGAGTCAGCTGCACCAGCGCCGCGTCGTCCCCAGGCGACAGCTCGGGGGAGTCCCAGCTCAAAGTTCGGCAGTCGCTCTCCTGACAGAATCCGCTTGGGGGAACGATGGAGATGAGGTGGGTCTTTCTTTGAGGGTACCTTTTTGGTGGTTTCAAACAGAAACCAAAGGAAAGCCTAGCTGAAAGTGGGGGGGGGTTCCCCTTTCTTGAGACAAACCCAGATGTCCACAGCCACAAAGGGCATTCCCTTTGCAACCCAAAAAAGAAAGAAGAAGAAAAAAGGGAGAGGAAAGAGACATACCCAAGCCTGTCAAACCCATGGATGGTATTTCTTCACGACTCATGTCCCGCTCCTCGTCCTTGAACTTCTGCAGCCGCTTCTCCAGCTGCTCGGTGAGGGCCGTGAACACTGGGTCTCGGTTCAGCAGGGCTTCGCCCTGGGCAGGGGGCTGACTCGACGGGTGGATAGGAGCGCAGAGAGGCTTGGAGCTTTGGAGCCACCCAAAGCGGCAACGTTGGCCTAACCCAACTGTTGGAATCCTTTCAATTCTCCGGCCCCGGGAGTCGGGCGCCAAGGGCCCGGCCTTTTCGACGCTCCAAATCAGGACACTGTCACCCAGCCGGCCCTCCGAGTCCCCAAAGTCGTGCTGCAATGAATGCACCACATGCTTCAGCCTGCCAGGGGCATAGGGCACAGGAGCCAGGGTGCGTTCCTTCGCGTTTTTGCTGGCTGCCTCACAAAAATGTTGAGGACTTGGCGGCCTTGTGTGAGCACGCCTGGAAACTTACCCCCACGTGTGACTGTTGGTGGATGGTGGCCGTCCAAACGCAGGGAGAAATACCAAAAAACCTTCGAACCGCGCCTGGGTTGGTCGAGCCCCAATCCAACACATCACCGACCCCGGAAATGTCCCACCCTCACCCCCCGGCCGTGTGTTGTAAGGTTCCAACTCCACGGACTGTCGCTTCAAATCCTTAGTTGCCAGCACACGCCCAGGCGGGCCATCCCCCGCAACCCCTCACCAGCCGCTTCCCCTAGAACCCAGCAGACTCCCCCCTACAAACTCTCCGCCTTCCCCAAACCTCGACTTCTGCCTTGCCGAGGGGCCGAATATGGAGTCGCAAGGAAGGCAGTAAGAAGGAAAGCGTGAATGAGCAAGCACCAGCTGCAAAAGGGCCTGGTGAGCAGGAAGTCGAAGGCCGCCAGCAGTGGCCTAGGCCACTGTGAAACGAGAGCGCGGTTCTGGAGCTCCGACCTCGCCACTTTCCCTGTGGCTGTTGAGCTACACGAGTAAAGACCGGCTGCCAACCGCAAATGCCAATGAAGGGGCATCTCGTGCGCTAAGATGTTGTGGGCCCCCCCCCCTCATGTAAAGCAACATCTTGGGGCAACGAGGGGGGCTTGCCGCGAATCGAATGACCACTGTGTCAAGCAATGTCCATCCACTTCAAGTCAACCTGCAGCTCAGCAGGCGGGACAGTATCTGCATGATGCCGCCCATTCGCAGAAACCATGGAAAAACATATGTGTTTGCAATACGAAAAGCAACGGTCTGGAAAGTGCGGCCACGGTGTGACGTTGGTCCGCTGTCATGTGACCGTCACGAAATTACACCCCCACCCCCACCCTCGAACCCCTCCCTCTCCACCATCGAGGACCAGGTTTGCCGCAAAAACCATAAAGTAAAACACATGTGTTTGCGATACGAAGAAGCCAAGGTCTTGAAAGTCCGGCAACTCCCCCCTTTGAGGCAACATGTTGCTGGCCCCCGCTACATCGACAGGCAACCCTCACGGGCATAAGAGTCGGAGTGTTGATTCACCCTCGCCAACAAGCCCAGCGGCTTGTTGGTAATCAGCTCGACATGCTGGCGCCCTCCATCCTCAACCATTGCTACAATATGCTGAGCCGCGAGCTTCGGTCGCAAGGCGCTCCACCATCCCAAGGTGGGAAGCTGGCAATATGGCTCTTGTTCTTTTGGACTGACCAAAAAAGAATCTCCATGCAATTGGTGTATTGACAGGGGGGAATCGGCAGCTTGATGGTTTGAGGGCAGCCCTGCAACTCAGGTCCCTGCGTCTTAAGATGCTTGTGCGAAGCGAGTTTACCCTTGGATTACTTGCAACACCGAACAAGCGAGCGCCTATTCTAATGATTGATCTTGCGCTCTTTTAGAGTAAAGCGAAGGTCAAGGAGGACACACTGATATCCCAACAGGGCTATATTACCCATAAACGTCATCTGTCGTGTTCAGGAAGAATCGGTCCCTCCCTCCCGGCATTCATTTAGACAGAAACCCATGGGGCTAGAACTCAAGCACTCATTGGTCACTGCTGCGGGCCGAAACTGGGTTTCACCGAAGTGACATCCTCGAAACTACCCTCTAAATGGTTCAAGGGAACCCACCCCAAAAAAGACATGTTGAGTGCCCCACATACATGCTCGCTTAAGGGACCCTGGAACCCCCCCCTCCTGGTTGATGAATAGGGGAGGCTGGGTTGTACTTAGATGTCAGGTCAACGCTACCTGGTTTAGTTGGGGTTATAAATCCTAAACCTTCAACAAAGTTACATGGACTGGGTTTTCGGCGCTCAAATGAGGAGCCAGATATCCGCCCTTTTGAGTAGTTGCACAGTTTCGGGTAGACCACTTTCAGACCAGGTTTTGATTGTGACTCACATGAGGAACTGACAACATCGTTGGTGTATTGTTGGTTTGGGGAGGATGAGAAGTGAGGCCACCCAGGTTCCCTAGAGAATCTGCCAAACATTGCATGACTTCGCCCACCGAGCGGTGGCAGGCCGCCTACTGGGCCCAGCCCAGCTCGGCCCAGCTCGGCCCCAGGCCGAGCGTAGCGGCCGCGCGTTGCCCTGGGAGTCGTGGACGTCCAGGACCAGGTCCAGGACCTCCGAGCGAAGCCCAGGACCAACCCAACAGCCCAAAGCAGCCCTTTGGGACCACCAGTTTGGCCACATGGGAGAAACCCCTTGGCAAAGGAGTGGATGTCAGGTGCACAGGGATATCAAAAATGAGGGTGGGCTTGAAAGAAACCGAAAATGAAGCCATTTCGAAGTCTCCGCTTCCGTGTGTGTCTCACCAAAGTCTCTCATCCTTGTCCAGTGTGGGCGATGCATTGCAAGAACCAAGCTCTCAATGGAGCCTTCAGCAGAATGAAGATCCGATGAGCTTCATCACAACAGAAACAAATTGTTCGTGGAGCCCGAGCTAACACTGACTCTTTGGCTCATTCTACAGGGAAGCCAAAGAGCTGTCTGGAGAAGGGGTTTGACACTTGTTGCGTGTCTTTTTTCAGGCTACTCTTTTTGGGTCGTTTGCAAGGAATACCCAAAATGGGGATAGCAGTTGGGTCATGGTTGGTCATTCAAAGAGGTGTGAAGCGTTGCAGAAGCAGAGATCTGGCCTGCGGTGTGATCATCAGCACGCTCACCTCTCACGAGCCGGACGAAACCACCCCAGCGCCCTCGCGGCTTGGATTCCCAGTCCATCCAACCGGCATCAACCTGCTGGATTTTGTGGGGCCGCTTTCTCCGGAAGAGGTGAAGGAAGCATCCCCAATTTAGCTCGACACCCAACTTCCACCACACCTTCATACTGTCTTCCCATGGTTGCTCCGCAGGTCTTGCCCCATCGCAGTGCTAAAACAAAAACACCGCACCTCCTCTGCGGAGATGGCATTCGCCATGTATTCGGGACCTAAGCTCAAATGCTCCATAGCAGACCACCCAAAGGTGTTTGTCAGTTGCTCATATGTGGAGGCCAAAATATGGCCATGAATTTTGGGTTGGTGGACATAAATCCCCACCCAAATGATGTCCACGAAAGGGTCCCCTACCTAAAATTCATGCCTAGCACCACTCTTTGTCAGGCCGGCACTGGCAAATGGCGGTTTGCACATCAGGCCCCAAGCTCTTGTGACCATTTGCAGACGCCACCACCAGCTTGCCACCTGCAACTGCCAGCTTCGAGAGAGCTTCAGACAAGCAAAACGAGCGAACCTGAAGCTGGGGTGCCTGGGATACCGAGCGTCCGAACCAAACGCAAGTTGAGTCAGCAAACCCACAGAGCTAAACCCCCCAAAAAAAAACGGAGAATCCAAAGGGCGAAGTAAATCCATCTCAAAACTCAAAACCTCGAAGCGAGTCAAAAAGGCATGAAGCGCTTGAGGCAACTGATGTGTGCAACTGCTTGCCATTGAAAACACACTTCTAAGGCTATGACTGGGGGACAATTTACTTGCTGGTGCTCAGTAAGGAATGAGAAATGGAATGAACCTGATTCGATTCCCTTAAAGGAAACCACCGGTTGGATGGGTTTTTTGGGGGTCATTCCAATTGTGTTGCCTATCGCACCAGCAAAAATGTTCATCACTCGCGTCGCCTCGCGTCAGCGCCGGGAACATCTCCCACTCCTATGCGCGGCTTCGGGTTTTTCGGATCGGGCCGGGTGTACCGACAGATCGGTCCGTACCCGGCATCTCTGCATCTCCAACCGGTGGGGGTGAGTATTTCATTGTCAATCCGATGGGCTCCAAAGGACCGGTGCTTACATGTTTTGCAGTTTTTCAGGAATGGAATGAAGGGCTTAGGGAGTGTTCCGAGCCCCATCTACCAGTATTGTTGCAGTCAAGGCTCGATAATTGCCCAAAAGTACCTGGCACTCGGTTTGCGCCGGAGTTTGTCCATCCCTTCCCGAGTCCAGCGGAAAGCAGGCCCAAAAAGGGGGGCAAATGCCCCCTTTTTGAACCCTGAGGTGGACATCATGATGGAACATCCTCCCAACCTTTTGGGTCCTCCCCACGGGCACGGGGACTTGAGGAGCGCCACGGAGCTCGAATCCATCTCACCTCTGCTTTGGCTCGGAGAGAACACACATGGCGCATGCTTTCGGAAAGCTCGCTGAGGTCATCCACAATGCAACTTGCCGCATGCACTGCAAGTCGTGGCGTCAGGTCACAATGCTCTGCGAAGAAATGGACACCGTGCATGAGGTGCGTGTGGTCATAGACGATGCCCTGGTAGGTGCAGGCTATTCACAAAGAAGGAGTCTTAATTTTGACCTCGTGCCCTCTGTCTTCCTCTTTGATGGGTTTAAGCCGAAAAACAAGACCTCCCCTGTTTGAACAACCCTCAGGCAACAGGCACCACCTCCTGCCCAACATCCAGTCGCGTATTTTCTCCCCCACTCACCGATGTCCTTCGGAGCGCCGGTGGTTCCCGAGGTGTAGATCAGCAGGGCCATGTCCTGAGCCTCCCATGGAAACTCCCAAAGCCGTCTCTCCAATGCTCCAACCGCCCCAAAGGCTTTTTAGGGCCCCAATCCTTGATTACATCAAGCATCGTGGCAAGCTCAGCGCCTTTAAAAAAAAAAAAAAAACTAAAGCTTAGAGAACTCCCGCCAGCATAGCTTTCGTGATTTGACACCCCCATCGCTCCCAATGCCGTCTTGCCTCCGGGCGCCGGTACTCCCCGCCGGCGCTCTGAACACGCTCGCGGCCTCCGAGGCGCCAACATAGCTCTCAGGTTGCAAGCGTCTTGCCTTTGTAGCACGGCTTGCTTCCTTCAGTCTCCCTGCAAAGCCTTCGAAACACACTTTGAGAAAGGCCCCAAACCCAAGCTTACTGCGAAACGCTGAAAAAGACCCCCCCCCCCCCGGTGGCGTGACTTTGAGAGGTGCTCCGAATCCCATTTTCGGCGCCTGAGGGTTCAGCGACCATGCCCTCATAATCCGAGCCGAAGGAGTGCGTCCGAGAGCGCTGGCGGCGCCTCGACACGGCTCCAAACATCTGCTGGCTTCCCAAATCACAACCAAAAAAGGATCCCGCTGGCAAGCATCTTGTTGACCACAGCCCTTGTGTCAATAAAGCCACAGGCAGGTCGGCCATAAAAGGATCCCCTCAGAAACCTCCGACGGCTTTGTGTTTCAACGCCATGAAACACGGGGCCACCCTTCTCAAAGCCGCGGGCGTAAGCTGGAGGGAGGCGGAGCCGTTGGCAGGCAGAGAGATGAAGTGGCAGCCCATCTGACCGTAAGCCAAAGCCGCGCGAGTGAACTTCCCAGCTCACCCCCGGGTCCCCGGGTCCGGGTCTTGGTCAACCACTTCGGCACGGTCGCGTCCTTTTGAACGCCCATGCCCCAAAAAGCAAGCACCAGCCAAAAAGGCACGATGGACCTTTGGGAGGGATCAGCTTGGGAATGGAACTGGCCACAGAAATGTCCGGCAGGGTGCCAAAGTGATCAGGGAGTGTCTGAGTAAGCAGGTAGGTCCCTCGAAATGGCAAGAAGGCAGCAGCACACCCCTGGAAGCAACCGCACACCCACATCAGCATAGCCACCTTCCGCAAACGACGGAAACACCACTGGACCACTTGTCCAAACATTGTTAAGCTAGAAATCTCAAAGAAGCAAGATCGTAATCCCGGGAATCCAACAAGTGTCACGTTTCACCTCCCCCACCCCCACCCCCACCCCAACCCCCACCCCCACCCACCCCCACTCCACCCCACCCCCACCCCACCCCACCCCCCACCCCCACCTGGGTTTTGGTGGCCGGCCAACCGCACCACTGGCCCCTTCGCCCCCTTCGCCCCTTCGCCTCCACCGCCAGCTCTCGGGCCACCTCGTCGCCTTTGAAAAGAAAAATGGGAGGGAATCCATGACCACCGCGGCTGACTATATATATATATACATAATCTATATATATATATACATATACGTCTCTACATATAAAATATGATATGAAATAATGTAATAGGTTTATATAATATGCATGTACACATGCGGGATACCAGTCGGGAGAATAGTTGGAAACAAATGAGGTGCCAGTGATGTCTGAGTGACGATATTGTGTGCAAAGAAATCAGGTACTCGCAAGAACTGGCTCGGCTTGCTTTGCAGAGGTGGCAGGCTCGACAGGTTCCGTGAAACCTTCACATGGCTTTCGCACGCCCAAAGGCATGGGCCTCGTCTTCAAAATGCTTCCGTTCGCTTCGACGCAAGCGAGTGTTGCAAGCGTGCTTCCACGGCCTGTGCATTGCCTTAGTGTTCTGCTTTTGGGTTCCTGGAGATTGGCTTTCTTAGGCTTTCCGCGAAGCTTCCGCAGACCTTCCGTTCCCTTCCGCATATTTGCTCTGGGATGCAATCATGTCGGCTCCTTGCAAAAATAGACCATTATAACTTAGACAGGTTCCACCTCACTGCTTCGAACCAAAATATACCAGGCAGCCCACGGGGTCAAGAGAATGTGTTTGTGTTTCTGCAAAGTCTCTAGGTTGCAATGAGTATGTCAACCTTACCTGGCCCAAGAAAAAAATACAGCCGGCATGAATGGAAAACAAGCAAGTCAAAGCGCAGACGTTGCGCCTGAGACAGCAATGAGGACCCTGGATTCACTCTCGTTGAGCAGGAACTGCTTCCGCGCCAGCGGCGCATCCTGGACCCGGCTCAACTTCCGTTGCCAGAAGGCTTCATTGACCTGCTCTTCCACGGGCTCATGGGACCTGCATTTCCCAGGGCGACCAGCAAAGCCCAGAGACATGAAATGTGTAAAGCCCGGAGCGCTTTGTGCAAACTGAATTCTTCGCAGCCACACTCGACAATGTCCAACCGCCCAGGATGCCCTGTTCCGCAACTCGCCAAAGAAACCTTCCGATTTTCCAGGTCCCCCTGCGTTGTCGATGGGAAGGAAAGCTGCCCCAGCCTGCGAGCGGCAAGTGGGCCATCGCGCCCTCCTCAGCCCAACCATGCCTTCTAAAACAACCCCAGCGGAAACCGCAAAGTTGTCTCCGTGAAGTCAACACGTTGTCCACATGGCAGACCCGTAAAGGGGGCCTTTCACGAAATGAAGCTGAAAAGGACAAACGGCTGTAGTCAGTAGTACCCTAGCTTCACCTTGGGCCTTCTATGGGTCACTGTGAAAGCTCAGCCCGAACGCCCTCAGATCTGATCCTCGCAGTTACTGGGCGGACTCCAAGCGAGCATGGATCTCAAGCAGCTGGCTGCAGAAAACAACTGACCTTTCTCTCCCAACAAGTGTGCATGTAGTCTTCTTGCTTGTTTGACAATGTGCCTATATGTTGTGTGCGCCGTTTCCAACGTGAGAATCGAATCACCGCTGGTACCTTCAAGCCCGTTGCAGTTGAACATGGCGGGTCTTCCCGTGGCTTCCTGGTTTGAAAAGGGTGCTGAGCACAGGTAGCCTTTTGGAGTAAATAGCCCTGGTCATGGGGCATAAGAGTCTATAAAACCCATCTACACCAGACCAAACTGACCTAAGCGGAGACCCATGGTCCTGAGCCTCAAATTAAACTTTTTCCGCCTGGAGGGTCCCGAAGACCGCCACCACCTGCGCCACGCAGCGGTCCATCATGAGGCCGACCACCTCAGCGCTTCTATCTTTTGGGGACCTCCCAGCTGCTTGGGGCCTCTCCAAAACATACCTACAACCCAACTCATAGTTGTTGCATGGTCCACACGCTTGCTTTTTGAGGTACCTTTTGCGGTGGTTTCAAGGGGTAACCAATGCGAAAACCACCGTGTTTGAAGTCCTGCCTATCCTCGATCGACTTGCAACTTGTTGCCCCGGTGCTCCGACCCAAAGCTCTGCTCCTCTTAGTCTATTCCCCAAGACCCCGGCAGAGTCACAGCAGGCGCCCAGAGACACGAGGCACTCGGCAACCTGTAGGGGAGCTGGGATGGTCAGAAGGCGCGCCCTGTCGCACCCGGCGGTTCCAAAAGCCGGCGCAGGAATGCCACGCCAAGCGCGAGATTAAAGTCATTGGACGTGCCTCATCCACCAGCGTGCCCAGGTCCTTGTACGTGATCTCCTGGAGTGTTTAAGCAGTCGCGGGAAAGCAATGTATAAGAAAGACAGAGGTCTTCAAAAGGGCAAGCGTGCGAACCATCCTTGGAAGTTCTTCCAGCACCAGGCACCTCAGGAATGTCCCGTTTACCTTGTTTCGCCAGGCTTGAGCCCAAACCGAGGGCTTTCAGCTCGTGATTTGTGAGGTGCGCTGTGGCCGGGACGAGTAAAGCCACGGAATCTGGAGTCGCCTGCACACGTGGCAAGGAGAAGCTCTTCTTCTGTTCGAAAAAAAACTATGAAGCTCCGCCTTGACTCGGTCCTGGAACAGCTCAATGACTCTCCTGCCAGCTGAGAAGTTAGAAGCTCCCTTCTAGGCAAAAGCAAGCAGGACCATTGGAAGCGCTGCACGGGCCCTTTTGAGATCTGCATAGACCGCAGGGATCTCGACCTCGGGCTTCTGCCGGGCGCTTGGGACGGCCGGGGGACCCGGGAGGGCGCCTGTCCGGCGAGCCATGCTCCGCTCAAAGCGGCCAAGGCCAGCGGCTTTCTGCGCTCCGCTCTTTGGGCAGTTTCCATTTGCTTCATTCTTCTTTCGCATCCTTCCCAGTCGCGGGCCTCAGGGTTTCAGGGCCTCAGGGCCTCAGGGCCTCAGGGCCTCAGGGCAGGCCCTGCAAGATGGAGTCCGGCAGGCGCAGCGGCTTGCCGTTGAGCAGGCTCGGCACCGTGCTCAGCAGCCCCAGGGGCGGCCTCGCGGGTTCCAAAGAGAGCTAATGCTTCGATGCTTCAACATGAAGCTGCTCTCCGACCAACCATGAGTGAGGCAAAGGGGCAGAGGGGCAGAGGGGCAAAGGAGTCCATTGGCCTGTGCCAACCAACCAACCAAACCAACCAACCAAGTCCAAGCCCTGAAAACCCACCGGCCCACCGCGCCTGAACTCGTTTTTGCTGCGGCTCTCTTGCCGCGCTCTGCGCTGCTGGATGTCGCTGTCGACCTCATTCCGCGGGCCAACCTGCGCTGCACATGCACAGGTCAGCCTCAGACAAATCAACCTGGCGGAAAGGTGATGTTTCCGAGCAAAGGATCTCTTACCTGACACGCCTCTCCCTTCAGAGGACCGGACGAAGCGATTTTGCGAGCCAGGTCTGTCCTTCTCGTCGTTGAGCTTCTGGCAGTTGTCAGACAGCGAGTCCCAGGTTTCAGGGGGTGAGTAATTGATGCCCAGCAGGGCATTGATCTTGTCGGCCAGTTCCACGAATTCTGGCTCCTGCGGATTGTTCCCTCCCCACGAAATGCCAATGTGGAGAAGAAGAGAGTGTCATGTTTGTGAGTACCAATAGGAGCCACCGGGACGGAAGTGGCCGTCATTAGTTGAAAGATCGTGAGGACTCGACCCAAGCAAGTGACAAGAAGGCCCCCCTTGAATCGAATCTTGACAGCTCCTCACGAGCAAACAAATAAAAAAGACAGCAGCTGCCGCTTCTCCTTCGCTACTTCGGCCCTTGTTTTTGGGCAGAAGTGGGAACTGAACAAGAGCTTCCCGGCAGCCAAAAACGGCCATTATTGAAAACATCACCCTAAACGCCCGGAAAGCAAAAATTTTCAAAAAGCTCTAAGCTCACCCTTTCCAAAAGTGCCTCTTTGTTTCCCATCCAACATGTCCTTGATAAAGGGCCGCATGTCGCCCATCATCTTGTACACCCCGCTGGAGCTGCCCTCATAGCCATACCTTGGCAGCACCCGCATCTGCACCTTGAGGAAGAGCTTTTGCCTCAGGGGCGTCACGAGCCTGGCGATTCCCTCATGGTTTGAGCAGGTTTCAACTGCAAATGCTGAAACAACCTCTACTTATCTCTCTACTCCGGGTTGTTCAACATGGGCGGCGATCCGAAAGGGTTTGGCAAAAAAACTCACGAGGGAGCGATCCATGTGGCAGACTCGCTGAGCAACGTGCTTTCCCTTCTTTTGGTTTTGTGGCCAGGGAATCCCAAGCGAAGAGCTTGCATTCGCGTGGCTGTTCCACAAAACCAGTCACATCATATCTTTTGCATTGAAAGCATCAGCATCGGTGTGTCAAGAACTGACATGGGATTTGGGAGAGTAACCGCACTTGTCTGATGGTAATCTGGTGAGTCTACCGAACGTCGTCCACTTTACTACAGTAGGGATGGTAATTCGTGGCCCTTGCTCATGACCTCAAGTGGCCATGGCAAAAACCCCCCCCCCCTTTTGGTGCAGTCAACAGTAAAGGGGAAACCCCCAGGTGGACTGGGTATTCGGCAAAGGCAGCTTTCTCGTATCGACTGCTTGGCCCTGCCTCTCGGCCAGAAACTTGGTTTTCACAAGCTCGCGCCGCTCGCACTTCGTTTGCAGCTGGCATAGCTCCTCCTGGGCTCATTGATAAGGTCAAGTCAGTGGCCGTTAGGGAGAGGGGGGTGCAAACCGACCCTTCAAAAACCTGCGGTTGCGAACCTAGTGTTCCACAACTGACCACAGGTGTCAGAAATGTTGGCTTTTTCGCCAGTTGCAACTTCCCTCCCACAGCCCTCACCATCCTAGTACCCGGGTCTGGATTGCTTCACTTGGCACACCAACCGAGGTTCCCTTCCTTCGAACAGCAACCAGCTACTTTGCCAGCTTCGCCAAATGCTTCGCAAGAGCCGGCAGTGTTCTTGGTGAAAAAAAAAAAAAACACCCACCCCCACCCCCCATGCCGCTGACGGAAAGCTGTCCTGAAACTCGGGCTCCGAGAACCCGCCGAGCAGCTCCTTCTGCAGCGCCAGGAACTTCTCCAGTCCAGGCGCAACGTCCTCCTCCAGGTCCTCGCGCACCAAATGGGCGTGGGTCAACATGAGGCAACCAGGTTGTAGTCCCAGTTTCCATTTGCCAGGGGTCCATTTGGGGTACATGTTTTTGACGCACAGCCAAATGGGTAGGAGTTAAAAGTAGGGAGAAGGGGGTCCCCAAAGAAATAAATGTCCGGATTTTGGCGTTCCAGACCAAAGCGGCACCCTATCCAGCGGGTCTGGAAAGGAGTTGAGAAAAGTGATCCATCAACTTTGGCTCGCGTTAGGAAGCAAAATGTGCTGTTGAACAACACAAAACAACATTTTGGGCATCCGAACTTCCAAACCCCTCTTACAAGAACTCCTTCTTTCGGTCGGGGAGGCTGAGAATTGTACAAGGCGGAGCAGGTTGCAGAAAACGAGAAGCGGCGGCGAAAGTGGAGGGCGTGTCATGTCCTTGCAACTCATTCCGGAAAAATGAGACTGAAATGGCCTTAGAACCCTTTTGACTCTGTTCGGGTGCTCTGCTTGGTGTTTGTCTTTATTAAGAGAGGCTCACCTTAGGATCATTGCCGACCCAGAAGGGTGCAACCATTCAAAAACCGGGGAGGGGGAGGCCCTCGATTCGCAACTATCCGTGGCAAAGCTTGCTGCCGGCACGGCCAGGCGTGGCGAGCCTCAAAGGGGCAAGTAAGAAAGTGCGGCTTCTTCGCCGGGGTTTCCAGCGACTGTGTCTCAAAAAGCTTTACCGGCGCCGCTCGCTGACAGAAATCATCCCACAAAACTGGATGAGTCTCCAAACTACCTCAAAACGAATTTCTTCTTGAAAGGACTCTTCAAAAGGCGCTAACACAGAAGTGCCGTCATCTATTTGGTGGCTCCTCCTCTCCAAGGATGATCTCCTCATCTGGAGAAGGGATATGCTCCGGGTCGAAACCTGCCAAAAGCACCTCCCGCACAGCGCCGATGGGCGCCTTCTCTTTGTGTGGGCTGTAGATTCCACCTCCACGGGCACGCATGAAGTCACACTGTCATACCAAGTGACAAAGGACACACAAACGAAAGAAACTGATTGTGCCCTGTTGCATCATTCCACACATGCTGCCAACTCCAATCTCGCCACAAAGCACCACATGCGAGGCATAAGCACAAATGCAGTGGCCTTCCTTGCGCATCAGCTGCCCTCTGAAGGAGGCTGCTTTGTCCTCAGGCGCTCCATTCTGGCCAAGCATGCCAAGCGCTCAAGGCTCAATCGAAGCCTTGCCGGTCCTTCAGGAAATGCCGCGCCAAGCCACGCTTCAGGTGTCTAAAGAGCGCCTTCTCCGGCAACACCACAACAAGCGTCCAGCCCTGTATGGCATGAGTCACCACCACCCGGATGGCCGGCGAAGCGGCCTCCACGGCTGTGCGCGGCGCCGCGGGCGGCGCCGCAGGCGGCGCGTAGGCGGTGCTCGGCTTAGGCTTCGGTGCCGGCACCGCCGCCGGCTGCCGCTTCTCGGCGGCATCCTCCTCTCCTGAGTTCAGCAAGTTCCACTTCCCCCAAATGTTAGGCACGAGTTACAGGAAAGCCAAGCCGCCGGAAAGCTCGTCAAAATCGAACATGGCGTCTGCCGGCCAAGCTCGCTATACACAAATACGGCTGCATAGGCAGGTGGAGAACTTTGCACAAAAGCAACCACTACAGACTGTGGAGTCAACAGCTCAAACACCTGCATGAATACTGCTGAAACAATAAACAAACACAGCAGGTAAATCGCTGCAATCTGTACTCAAGTCCTGTGATTCGATATTGACCATTGAGAAAGACCTTCGATGCCCCCCGAAACATGACGTCCCAGTCCTGTCCGCAGGGTAGCTTGGTGTCGGCCTTTGGCTGCACGGACAAAGGCGTCTTCTCTGAACCCCCGCGGCAAGAGACAACGCAACTCGGAACTCGGGACTCGGAAAAAGCCTGAAAAGTTTCTGCGTGGTACATAGTTGAGACATGCCATTCCCCGATTCCTGGTACTCTGAAACCCCGATTCCTGAAATCCCGATTCCCGGTACTCGCATAGCTGAGACTCCAAATCCCCGTGCTTGGGCCGGGGCCCCACAGCCAGGTCACAAGCGCTGCTCAGCTCCGCGGCCCCCTGCGCATGGAGGCCACACGTGTGGCATGGGCTTGCCAAGGTGAACATGGGCCGGCTATCTTTGGAAAAAACACTCCACCAAAAAAAAAACAAAAAAAAAAAAGACAACAAAAAACCGATTCCGAAAAGGTGATGTTGAAGCATCCCCGAACAGAAATGCCACCCATCCAACCTCGCCCCCTTCTGAATGCCCGTTCTCTGCCTCAACCAATGGGGCCGAAGTGTCGTTGATGCTGCGAGCCTGGCACCGCCGCTCCAAAAAGTCGCCCGTGGCCCGGCAAAATCCGAGTTTGCCCCTCCCTCCCTTGCATTCATTGGAAGCTACACCAAATACCTACCGCTATAGGCGGGCAATCAGGGAAACATGTATTGCTCGTTTTGCTGGTTTGCGGTTTGCTCTTGTCAACCACCGTTGATCACCATGAATCAGCTCCAACTTGATGCACAAGTCTCAACATGCAGCCCTGGATGACCTGAGCGCAGCACTCTCGCGGAGGCCACGCGCCGCTTGATGCGGTTGCAGCCCTCCGAAATTGTTGGCCTGATGGCTTTTTGTACAGCACGCTACAATATGCTAAGCAGACAATGCACCAGGAATGCTCCAAGAAGGAGAATGACGACATCCAAACAATCGTCAAATGATAAGCCGCATCTGAGAACAGCACCAGTAGTACACCAGCACACAAATCAGGACCCAAAACCTCAGTGTCCCAAACAGCCGCAAGGGCTACCCCCTTGAAACCGCGGCATTTGCATGAATCAACAACATTGTGATCTGCTAAGTGTGGTGCAATCCAAAGATAATGAGGAACAAAGCTTTGTCACCACCTGCAATCAGTGCAATGCTTGATCGGAAGCGCAAACACCTTTCATCGCAACCTTGGGCATGGCTGAAAAAATGCCGCCTGTCCAAGCTGAGTTTGGGTCCCGCCAATCCTGCCAGAACGCGAATTGCATTTTGAAGGCATGGTCTCAACTTGCTGGCCCTGTCCTCGGCAAACGGGAATTCGCCCACTGGCGGGTCTTCACCCAAGGACCTGACGGCAAGCGCTGGCGGCAAGGCTCGTTCCTCTTGCTACGTTGTAGCCATCAACCATCACGATCTTGAACTGCTCAAAAATTGACTCAAAAGTGGCAACCAAACTGTAGGAAACTTCCGTCAGCGTCGGTGGGTGAAACCGGAAGGCAAGACTGGCTTCCAGGGGAAGAAAACCCTTGGACACTTGAGGAACAAGGAGGCATTGGCAAATGCTCAGCGGAAAATCCGAGCCAGCCTGTATGTAATCAGTGATGGCGGGTGCCATGGTTGGTGGTAGGCATACGCCATCGTGTGGTCCGACTGTCAGTCTGCCAGTAATATCTGAGAGAACAATCAAGCAGTTTCTACAAGCCTGGGATGCATATGTCCGTGTGTATGTTTAAGCAGAAACACACTTGCAACGCACACTGATCCTGCAAACTGCGGATTTCGAAATCCACACAATGGCAAAGCGCGCATTGAAATCCAGAGAAGAACGTATGCTTGCAAACACTCCGTCACCCGGCCCTTCAACCACTCAACGTTCAAAATTATGCAAGTTTTCATGTATGGCCAAGATTTAAACCTGACGGCTGCAAAATAGTATCACTTGTTTGAAATGACGCACTGGTCTATGCAAACCGTTTTGAACCAATACGCATACGTATGTATGGATGAACCCCCATTTCACTCACTTCGGACAACGTCCCTTTTTCTGCGCGCATTTCAGCCCACGGAGGTGCACTCCAATCTGTTGCAAGCGGGTTCATGACATGGCCGCTCCCGCACACGCACGCGGTGACAGCAAATTCACTTCCACTTGCGGGTTTTGCAACATTCCAGCTAGACAGGCGGGCACAGCCACCTTTACAGTGTCGGCTCCAGCTCAATTCAGACGACGCCCAACGTCCGAGTCATAAATCTGTCAACTCAACAGGCGAAGAACGAAGCAAACCACAAACCGGGACTGTTTTTGACCCCAAACAGGCGCGCACGCTCAGACCCTGTTTTGACCACAATGGGCAACGTATCTTGAGCCAAATGGGCATTGCCATCGGCGTAAGCCAACTTGCAGCATCACTGAAAAGCTTGCTCAAAAGTTCGCATATTTCACGACTTTGTCATGCCAGCTCTAACACCTTCGAGATTCTCCGGCATACGTGTTCGAATGCCGACAAGCGAGGGCGTGGTCCCCATGGGTCGTGGCGTTTTTGCAAGATGTTGGCGGCTTGTAACTCTGTTGCCGCAAATTGGATTACCACAGCCGTGCCGGGCTCGAGCTGTTCTGAAAGTGCGGCAAGGTTCACTTTGCGAGTTCATTGTACACGTCGCATCTTCGGCGAGTAGCCCTTCTTCACTTCTTTTCTTGCAACACCAGTTCGACGGGGCGACCGAGCAAGCATTCCCAAGACTCAGAAAGGAGCGGGCGAGTGACACCCGGTTTGCACGGTGGATCTCGACACCGATGTTGGGCGATTGTTCAACGGGAAATGCGATGGGCCCTTAAGAACCAAGCATCCACCGCAGGTGGACTTTGCATCCCTTTCCCTGACAAAGGCGGCATCTTTGCGGTTGATCATTGACGACGCTCACCAACCGACAGTGCGTGGTCGAGTAAAAACAAGAAATTGGCCCAGCTATGTGCCTGTCGCGGTTACGGGACCACTCCTGCGCTTCCGGAGCTTCTCGGATGGGGCGCGCGTGATCGAACAGAACAGTTCTTACCGCGCTAACTGCGTTCAGATCGGGTTCGTGCGACGTTGCGGGGGCGTTGATGTGACTACGGCCGAGCATTCGTTGATCATCTTGGTGAGATTCGCCCAAATCAACACAAGTTGACAGCATTAGGGTGTCCTTGAAGTGGAGGTTACTTTCTTCCCAAAGGCCGCCAGCGTCAGGATGGCAACACTTTACCTACGTGGACATGCGGGATGTTAAGCTCCTTGAACACATTGTTCATTGAGGAATTTGGTGAACAAGCAAACTCAAACATTGGAAATCTTACCTCTTTGGCTTGTCGCTTGCGAGCTTTGTACCAACAGCAAACGGCGGGCACTTTGCGCCCGCCTGGAATAGGCATTCCGTGATGGTTCCGCTCCTCTTCTCTCTGCCAAGCAAGCGGTGAAAGCCCGCGCAACGGCAATTCCTGAAGGCGTCGAACCATCACTTTTTTTTGATCCGAGCGGCCGTTGCGATCACGCCAGTCCGCTGTTTCAGTGCAGAGAGACATAGAAAAATAAAGTTGAAGATCGGTAAGCACACACCAAAACAAACAAAACCACAAAACAAACAACAAAAACAAACACAACAAAATCTTCAACAGAATGGGAAAAGTTTGCACAACCCAGCACAACTCAGCGCAACCCAGGCACAGTCGGGCATCCAAATGCAGCGAACAGTGAAGAAAGCACAGACATTCAAACGTCTGGGAGGCAGATGTCTCAACCGGACCAATCTGCAAAATCAGCTTCGCAGTGAGAGCCAGTCAAATCAAAACTAGCAGAAAAATAGCTACAAACGAGCAGGAGACATGGGTCCCAATTGGCCGTCGAGAAAAAACAAAGCGAAAAAGTGAAGTTCCACGAATTCAAGTTCGACATGAAATGCCCACTGAGTTGTGCTCCGCACCAGCGTATGTACCGGAAATCCATAATGAAGCAGCAATCCGTCAATCATGCGCGAACCAGCACAATTTGGACTACTTCACACTGAACTGTTAAAAAAAGATGCCAAACACGAGAAGCGCGTTTTAGTGCACAGTTGCCAAAACAGGGACACATAAAGCTTGTTTCGAGCGGCACCGCCACAAGGCAGCAAAGATGTCCGCACACATCATCCGAACAACAACCCGCGTCTTGCGCAAGCAACAGGTTTGAGTTCGCATGTGCAAATTTCATAGCCCTTGTAGGAAGGACGTCTTGGAGCCCCCTAGGCCTTGTTTTCGTTTTTGCCATTCCGAGTGTGAACAGCGCAGTACCGCATTGAGCAAGAGAGTGCGACCTGAACCAAGGTTTGGGGAGCACCGTGGCAAAGCAAACGCAAGGCGTAAAAGCTGGCGCAGTTTGTACAAGGCAAGACCAAAAGCGGCACACATCACGATGCGCAAAATGATGCAGCAGGGCAAGATGTACACCGGCTCAGGGCAGGGCTTGATGCGCACGGCACGGTCGGGCTGATAAAGCAACCGCGCATGTTACGAGAAACACGCAGTGTAAGCGGCAAAGCCCTGAGCGTGGGTTTAAGGCTCGAGCCAAATGACTACGGCGTACAAGATTCACCAAGGGAAAACAACGTCCAATTTAGAGGTGACGGGTGGTTGGTTTGCAGCTGAATGAAATATTTTGTCAAGCTATCCAAACATACAAACTGCTTCTGAAAAAATGCATATATAAGAGGGCTCGAACCAGCGAAGCCCACCGCTCCACAATACGTGTCCTGTAGCGTGAAAAGACCTGGCCCATAAGGCACCGGCTCACATACGGTGTCAATTGCACCAGGAAAGCCTGAAAACCAAGTCAAAATACCATGGCGCCAGGCTCCACAAATTGGCTTTGTGTGTAGAAATAACGTCGTGAGAAAACACGAAAACATGGAAATTCCAAGCAAGCTGAAAGCAAAGCAAGCAAGCTGAAAGCACAAGCCAAGCAAACATGCTGTTGAGCTCATGAGCGAAAGCAAAGCTAAGCATGCTGGAAACTGCTCGTGAACAAATTTAAAGCTAATGCTTTGACAGCATGCTGTGGCTGTTGCTTGAGCATCCGTGTTGCGTATGCAAGGGTTAACTGAAACACATGTGAGTAAACACACAAACCATGCGCACGAGCCAGTTTGCTGAGAGCGAACGGTGTTCGACGGACACCTCGGGGGTGTCATCGAAGAAGGCTTGGTTACTGAGCTGCAGCTCGGATCGGACTGCATTAGTTGACTTGGCCTCCATTCGCTCCTGACACTGGCGGGCTGAGAGGCGGGTGTCCGCATCGAGGAGCTCCCCGCGATAGTTGGTCTTGAAGGTTTCCATACGACTGTACACCCGATCGGCTGTGAGCTTCGGGGGCAGGTGTTCTGTCCAAGAAGCAAGCGGGCGCTGAGTCTGTGGCTGCACGCCCACGCTGCCGCTCGGCTCTGGCCCTGCAAAGGCGTTGATGCAAATGCAGTGGCACTTCTTTACTTAGCTCCGAAGAGCCCCGCTTGAGCCAAACCAAAATACGCATCACATACAAAAACCATATACTTGGAGATATCGAACTGGTGGAGTGCAAATGAGCATCTTAGACTTAGGGGACATGCTTGGAGATCTCAAACTGGTGGAGTGCGAATGAGCATCTTAGACTTCAGGGACGCGCTTGGAGATCTCCAACTGGTGGAGTGCAAACGAGCATTGGTCATTATTGCACTGTTTTCCGACTAGGCTCGGGGGAAGTCTTGTCAGTCCACATGGACATATCCGTATCTCACATGAGGTTTCGATACATCTTCAACGCACAATCCCTCTGGGGGAAAACAGTATAGTTAAGGCATGTTGCACTGCTCCTAGCTTGAACCCAAACATGAAACCCCAAAAGAACAAAGCTCATCCGAAGCGGCCGCAGTTCTTTTTACCGGGATTGCTGAAAGTAGCACTGCTTCCAGGGCACTGGTGCGCCTGGAACAGGAGGCGCATTGACCCCCCCGAAAATTGAAAAGGCAAGACAATGCGTGTCCTTGCATACAAATGCAGTGCTTGCGGGGCGCGGCATGCGTGCCCACGCCCCAAGGTCCGGAGACCGAAAAGTCCGGAGACTCGAGGTCCGGAGACCAAAGTTGGTCCGGAGACCTGGTCCGGAGACCAAAAGGCCCGGAGGCCACCCATGAAAGCGCAGAGCGTCTGCGACCTATACTTGCAGAGCCTTGCATAGGGCAGTGCAGGGTGGGTGGGTGGGTTTCAAATGAAACCGCAGGTTTGGGTCAAGGCTAGGAGCAAAACGGCCAACGCGTAGTTCGATTCACAACATGCCCTAAACACAAGGGAAAAGAAACCCTAAGCGTTAAGGCATGTTGCACTGCTCCTAGCTTGAACCCAAACATGAAACCCCAAAAGAACAAAGCTCATCCGAAGCGGCCGCAGTTCTTTTTACCGGGATTGCTGAAAGTAGCACTGCTTCCAGGGCACTGATGCGCCTGGAACAGGAGGCGCATTGACCCCCCCTTCAGTGTTTCAGGCAACCCCGGTATAAGCGAGCCCGCTGGGTCGCAGGCCTCATCACCCGCCCTTCAGAGTGGGGTTGTACCTGGCAGGGCAAATGCTAGCGTGGCCATGCACGCAACGGCCAGGAGGTCGTGAACA